AGAATATCCGAATATTCCTCGGGACCATATCCGGATATACAATATCCGGATATCTCACTGTCCATATCCGGATATGCAATATCCGGATATACAGATTCACATATCCGGATATCCAATATCCGGATATCCCAAAACCACATATCCGGATATCCAATATCCAGATAACTGTTCGACAAATATCCGGATATTTCACGACAGAATGCAGTTTCTGGTTTTTCGTGAAGATATCCCTTAAAGGTTCCCTTTTTACCGATTTTAAACACCTAATCATGCATTTCTAGGCGTGTTCAACATTACCTAACAACAAGTTATCATCTTTTAGTCATTAGATGCATCAAGGTACCATTTTTAAGCCTTAAAACTCAAGTTAAAGGTTGGTACAACATACCAAGACTCAAAACTCAGAATGGAGATGCTCTTGGAGCTCAACACAGCCCCTCAAGTCTGACTCAAGGAAGATGCACGAAAATGGCTTCACAAAGGTTGGTTCTTTAACACAAAGGTCACCACTTGGACCTCCAAAAACCAAAACCAAGCTTCTCCCAACCCAAAACCAACAAGTCAGCAACCAAACCTCCCTCGCACAGACTTCACAACTCAGAAACAACACCACAAACCCCTTCCCAAAGTGACTCTCCCTCACATAAGTGTTTAAGGAGAAGAAACCACAAAGAACAAGGAAGAAATGGCTCCAAGACTCTCAAGGAAGAAGAACACAACAATGGAACAGTGCCAAGGTGCACTCAGCCACCAAGTCACGTATAGAATTCTGATCCTAGGGTTTTGTGCCCATAATGGGAGTATTTATAGCCCAAACACACTTAAACACACAGTATTAACTTTAATTGCTACGTTTAGCATTTTAATCCCAAACTTTGGATTATGAAACTACATAATTTTCTAAGATTTATCATATTTATCTTATATTTTTCTGAGCACCTATCTGGTACGCGCTTTTCAAAGCCAGTACCGGTTTCTAGCACCAGTTCTCATTATTTGGACTTGAAACTCGTTTTACAAGTCCTACATATTATTCTAGTAATTATCATGCACTTAATTTAATTTTCCGGGATACTTTTTCGACACGCATTTATACCGACTAGCATAACCGGTATCTGCACTTTTCTTCCGAAAAACGACTTTCAGCATTCTTAATCACTTATTATGATTATTAAGCCTCATAAATAATTATTAGGGTCAATTATGGAATTATTTCCTATTTTTGCATAATTAATTAATTAAATACCTTAATTAACGGTGCGGGTTCTTACAAAGATCACATTTTCATTCATGCGGTAACTATATAAGTGGTAGTAATTCTTCTTTTTCTCACCCGAGAGAAAATTTTCAATCTATCTTTAGTTTTGGTGATCATTCTACTGCGAAAGTATAATGGGAAAATGTGATATCAAAATAAGAACCAAGAATGGTTTTGTTGAAACAATATCTAATGTATTGTATGTTCCTGATTTGAAAAGTAATTTATTGATTGCTGAGCAATTACAAGAAATATGTTATGTAATCACTATTAAAAATGGTGCTTATAAAATATGACTCTGTTAGAGATGTTATTGCTATTGTTCAGAATAGTTCAGACAAATTGTTAAATTGAAGGAATTCAATCTAGTTTAAAGGAATCCTTGAGCTCGAATTTTGTTTCCTAGTCTTTCATTGCAAGTTTTGATTATGTTTGATTGTCTAGCATGTTTGGTGTATGTTTTGAATATTTCATGTTGCATGTTCTTTCTTGAAGCATTTGCATGAACATTGTTGAGATATATAGTCCCACATTGGTTGTATGAGCCAACTAATGTGGGATTTATAAGGCCTTAGGCACTCCCACCCTTTGAGCTAGCTTTTGGGGTGGTGTATCCCAAGGTTCTTTAAATGGTATCAGAACCTCGTGTCCCGGGTTCGATCCTCGCCGCCCCCACTTTCTTTCAAGTGGAATTTCTTTGTTCGCACAGGTAGGTGGGCCTGTGCATTGTCCATTCTTCAAGCCCAATGGGCTCTCGTGTGAGGGGGCGTGTTGAGATATATAGTCCCACATTGGTTGTATGTGCAACTAATGTGGGGTTTATAAGGCCTTGGGCACTCCCACCCTTTGAGCTAACTTTTGGGGTGATGTATCTCAAGGTTCTTTACATGGTATCAGAGCCTCTTGTCCCGGGTTCAAACCTCGCCGCCCTCCACTTTCTCTTATGGAATTTCTTAGCACAGGTAGGCTGGGCCTGTTGCATCATCCACTCTTCAAACCCAATGTGAGACTATATATCTCAACAAATGTAAAGAACCTTGGGATACACCACCCTAAAAGCTAGCTCAAAGGGTGGGAGTGCTTAAGGCCTTATAAACTCCACATTAGTTGCTCATACAACCAATGTGAGACTATATATCTCAACACGCCCCCTCACACAAGAGCCCATTAGGCTTGAAGAGTGGATGATGCAACAGGCTCAGTCTACCTGGGTTAAGAATTCACTTGAAAGAAAGTGGGGGGCGACGAGGATCGAACCCGGGATACGGGGCTCTGATACCACTTGATAAGAACCTTGCGATACACAACCTCAAAAGCTAGCTCAAAGGGTGGGAGCGCTTAAGGCCTTATAAACTCCACATTAGTTGCTAATACAATCAATGTGAGACTATATATCTCAACAAACATAAATTATTTTCCTCTTAATTTATGGTATGAATTTCAACGTATAAAAGATAGTGTTAAGAGATAATACTAAATTCAAACACTTTTTTATTCAAGTGAAAGTTATTGTTATAAAATTGTAAAATTATTTTCAAAAAAACATATTCCAGATGTATAAGAAAAAGTTATAATTTTATGAATAACCAAAATATTCTATTTCCATTCTATTTTTTACCTCATAAAATCATCATTTTATGTTCATTTGAGAAAGTCTATCTTTACAAGCAACTAGCCTCCTAGAAAGTCTATGGCACCTGAACCAACATGTATAACCTTCACAAATTTTTTTTTCTTTTTCTTTTCATTCTCGTTCCTCATAAAATGTTAGTGACGGGACTTAATTTATTAGTTGTTTTGCTAGACTAGTACTCAATATTTCTCCTAAGATAGTTTTCAATATATATATATATATATAGATATATTTCTCCTTAGATTTTATAATCATGCTCATATTTGTGCCTCTTACTTCTTAAATTACTTGCAGTACTTCATTTTTGCATATCCCAAGAACAATATTAATACACAATGAAAAAGCGTATGCCGAATAACACTCATATATTAAAGATTTATTTTATTTAAATTGCACATACCATGTACAAATCTATCTGCTTTTTTTATTTATTATATTACTGTTTTTTTGTATATTTTGTATTTTTCATTTATGTCATCAGTTTCAAGTTAAAACCAAATTTGTATTTAATATATCAATGTTATAATAATCGGATGAACTAGCCGGGCCGATTTATGTGCACCCTCACTAAACAAAAAGTTTACATAGCAGTTTCAATGCTACGCCTTTAGCCACTCGACCATCCAGAACCGATTATGGTTTGGTATTCATATTGGACCTGCCATATTATAAAATTAGTGCGATTATATTATTTTTTATAAAAAGCGATGATCCGATCGATTCAACCGGTGACCCGACCTGGTTCATAAAAAAATAAATTTAGTTTATTCTCATCAATTGATGTCTTTTTTTTTCTCACACACAAAAAATTTATTTTCTTTTGAATATTTAAGTGATTTGTAGCAAGGTTGTTGAATCGCAATACGTATCGTGTATCGTTTGACCCATTTTTTGTATCGTATATCGTAAAGCGTATTGAATTGTAAGATACAAAAATATAATAAAAAAATTTAAAAATTATGAAAATATTTACTTTATTAATTCAAATTTTTCAGATTGATTTTAATTTGAGTTTAAATCACAAATAGAATCTTTATTTTATTTTCCTTATTATTTAAATAGAATCTTTATTTTATTTTCCTTATTAATAATAATTTTTTATATTTTTTAATTTAAATGATAAATCAAGTCTTTATTTCTTTTTTATATTAAAAATTAAAAATTTTAATTTAATTTTAGTATTGTAGATACACGAAACGTATCGTATTGTATGATATCTGATACAAACCCCTTTCCCAATACACCCCATAATATGTATTGCTGCGCTTGTGAATCAAATTGTATAGTATTAATTGTATCGTGTGTAGTACAATATTAATAACTATGATATGTAGCTTATTAACTTACATAAATTATGTACCTATAGCACTTATTTTATCTTGGTTACGCTTATGCAATATGGATAGAATTTTATAGTTAGAGATGTCATCGACTAAACTTGAAATATCAATATCATAAATATTATATGTTTGATTGATCTTTTTATTAAAGAATGATATGTAATTTATTATTTTTCATCTTAAAATATTTGAAATTAATATGTTTTTATAGATATTTAAGTACGAGGAAGGATATTATAACAACCAATTAGTGTTACTATCAATCAATCTTACCGTTAGATCGATTATGTTGATACAACGGTTATATTTATTTTCTTTTTTGTATGGTTATAATTCTTCATATTTAATACTTTATATTTATTTTTACCTTTGTATGATTATGATTTCTCATATTTAATGCTTTCACTTTAAATATGAGGAATCATAACCACATAAAGATGAAAATAAATATAATCGTTGGATCAACATAATTGATCTAACGATGAAATTAATTGATAATAATATTAGTAGTAATATTACTTAGTTGTTACAATATACTATTTCATAAAGTAATATTATTTTAATTATTCTTTTAATTATTAAATATTTAATAATTTTATACAGGCTAATAAATCTAAGTGAAAGCTCTTATTTTTTGAATATAACTCAGATGAAACTTATAATTTCAAGCTTACAGGAAACTAACAAGCTACATCAAACCCAATAGTTTTTCCACACCTATTTAAACCGAGTATAGGCTAGCGGCTAGCCTATTTAGGCGCGCCGTATCTTATAACCCTAGTTCCAGAGTGCTCTTGCTCACACTCACACTCTAGTTTGCTTCTCTCACCCAAACCCTTCCGGCGACCCTCTTTTTCTACCGATGGAACCTCCTTCGGAGCCGCCAGCCACCGGAAATGGCGCCGGTGAAACCAAAAGCAAGAAGTGAGTGTTCAAAAACTATCTCAATGCAAAATTGACTTCCCCATCACCATTGAATTGATTTTTTTATTCTTTTTTATAATTTTGTTTGTAGTGAACTGAAGCGGGAATTGAAGAATAAGCAAAGAGAAGAAGAAAGGAAGCGCAAAGAGGAGGAGAAGGCTAAAAAGGTACTTCTCATTTCCATGTTCCGGAACCGCGGAACACTACGATCAATTAATGATTTGACGTTCAATTAGTGGTGATAGTTTTTCTTTTTTTGTTTTTAATTCAATTTTTTTAAATATATTTCAGTAAGATTTTGTGTGATTTTATTCTTTGCATTTGTACTTCAATTTCTGATCTTAAATAGAATTTTATTTATAGTTTATAATTTTTCTTTTCTAGGCAGCTGAGATGCAACGTGCTAAGGATAACAAATCTGCACCTGCTGATGACGATGATATGGACCAAACCGTATAGCTCTACTTTTGTCACTGCAATGTTATCATGTTATTTCAGCTATAGAATATTTTGATGAAGTTTTTTACTTTGGGTGTTTTCACTGCAGCAATACTATGAGAATAGGCTAAAGTATCTTGCAGCTCAGAAAGCAGAAGGGAATAACCCGTATCCGCACAAGTTCTCTGTGACTCTGTCTTTTGATCAGTACATCAAGAATTATGGAGGCTTAAGCGAAGGGGAGCGCCTTGAGGATGTCTCTGAGTCTTTGGCTGGTAGTCAGCAGTTTCTGTGTCGAATGTCGATGATTTTTTATTTTCGTGGTTGATTTTGTTGTTATTTATGTTGGTTTTAATAATCTTTCTGCATTTCAGGCCGAATCATGCTCAAGCGAGCCTCTGGTGCAAAGCTTGTCTTTTATGACCTGTACGGTGATGGTTTCAAAGTACAGATTATGGCTGATGCAAGGTACCCAACACTGTTATCTCCAACATTGCTAAATATAGTAGAACTGCAAAAGACACTGCATAATGGACTCTTGTTTTGATTGCACATGTAGATAAAATGGTGGTACAAATTAATATAGATCATTTATTAGACTTTTTTCTCTGGGGTTGTTTTGTGGAATTTTATTTCAAATTGTGTTATATTGATTGTCACGGAGCAGAGGACTTATGAGATGCTTGATGTTGTTGAACCATATGAAAAAGTTTATTAGCTACTGACGAACATTTTGTTAAATGATTAAATCAGAGTAATATTCTGAATTACTATCTCATAGAAGTCTAGTCATACAATTATTTTTACACTGTGCATTATCCTTTTGTGTCTTTTATAATTTTATTACACACAGACCATAGGCTAATATAAATTGGCAGAATAAAGTGAAGTCTCTTAATTTAGTAGAGGGAGATTATACTTATAACATATTTTTGTTTACAACCTTTTACAACCACTTTCTTTATACTTGGATTAAAATCTAATGAACGGCTGTCACTTGATGTTATCTTGTTACCGTTGATTTGATTTTGATCTAAGGATAAAAACAGTTGTTATAGAGGTTGTAAGCAAAAATAGGTTGTAAATATAACATCTATCAATCTAGTCTCATCAAATTTTCGTACTTTTCTTTATACAACTTTGTGTAGGTGCTACTATGCTAGAGTTATGAAGGATAATATTTAGTTGCAATAATTCAAGTACAGCAAATGTAATTTAAAAGAGTTTAAATTACAATGTCATGTTCTATGGTATTCCTGGTTACCTTGGTGTTTGACTAACTTAGATGTAACTGTTTGGGTTTTCAATTTATGATGCTGTTAGTGTTTTAATCCTTTCTTAATGCTGTCTTTTTCTTACTGTCAGATCCTATATTTTCTTCTTTTTATCCTGTCTGATTTTAGTGGGACAGAAACAACTGATATCTCTGAAATGCAGTGAATCAGACTTGGATGAGGCTGAGTTTACCAAACTCCATTCTAATGTGAAGCGTGGTGATATTGTTGGTGTCACTGGGTTTCCAGGTTTGGCAGCTACAAACTTTACGTTTTCTATTTTTCTTTTTCTTTTTTGACTTTGTCATTATTCAATATAAGGTCGGTCTCCAAGGGCCCATTTCCTATGAATGATAGGATAAGGCCCGATAGTGTAAGAACTTTAAATTTTTTAATACAATGGAGTGTTTTGTGTGGCATTTTATATATGTATATATATACACACACATATGTATATATGTACTGTATAATTCCTTATAAAATTTATATGAATATAGTATATTTTCAAGTAAAGAGGATTTTTATTAAAAATGTTAAATTTTTTCCAAGTGTTAAAAAAAGTCCCTAAGGCCTAGAAAAAAACTCTTGTCCACTATGTACATTCAATAAAAAAAATCAGTTCCATTAGTCAATGATTTTTTTTTTTTGGTGGGGAGGGGGAGGGTCTTGCAAGAGCCTTGGACTCTTACTATTATGTAACATATTTATATGCGCTTGTGTAGTTTTTTAAAATTTTCATATGCACTTTTTCTTTTAATTATCTATGCACCAAATGTGGATTGCGGCATGTCGTAGCCAACCCCGAAATATAGTGCACTACTATTTCATATAGCGCTATAGCGGGTTGTGGTTGCGAAAATCGTGGAATAGATATATGACAGAAATAATGACAAAAATAAACATTTTTTATAGGGAGAGATAACAGAAGTGACAGAGAAAGACGTAGATAGACTAAAAACCCCTTAAAATATTTATGTTACACATTTGAATTTAGGAGAAAATTGACATTTTGCCTTATGACAACAATATGGCCGCAAATGCGATCGCAATGGCCTCTATTGCATTCTGGTGCGGCAAGGCGCAGTTTCTTGCAGCGAGGCACCGCAATCATTGTTGTTAAAACGTCGTTCCAACTCGTAGAAACGTCCGTTTTTATGTTTTTAGGACAAAAACGTTTTAGAACGGTGGTAGAAACGAAAATGAGGTAGAAACGGTTGAAACCCCGAGTTGGCTTGGTTGACTTAACGAGTTTACCGAGTTGACTCACTGGAGAGAAAAAAACAGAAACAGAGGATATTTTGGGGTGATTTCCCCCAACTCAAAAGTGCTACGCAGAGGGTGGTAGCTGGCGTTTTGAGGCGGTTCAAGATGGTGCCCGCAGTGGCAGAAAGGGTGGAGTCCAAACTTCATTCCCTTCATAATTTTGCAAATGGAAGGTGTGTTCCTTGGGAGGATCGAGGAAAGGCTTGGTTGAAGGTAGAAAAACGATGATGGGGATGAATAGATTATGATCTTAACCATTTATTCCTTTTGAAGGGGATGGATGGTTGTCATTTGTTTGCAGTTGTAGCAGCACGCGGATCAATGACGTGATGTGTGGAGGAGTAGGGAGTGTTCAATGACAATCGTTGATCTAATAATGATGGAAAATTGAGATTGAATTAAATAGGGTGACGCGGATCTATGAATTCTCGTGCGGGAGAGTAAAAAAAAAAAGAAATTTTGATTTGTTGGCTGCTTCTGAAAATGGGAGCTCAAGAGTCAAATGCCAAAAAATTGGGCTTTAGTTTGAACCCGTTTCCCAAAACCTCAAATACTTGAACTCAGATCCTGCACTCGTTTGTAGGTGAAATAGATAAAAACATTAACTAAATAAATAATTATAATAAATAAACAATTCTAATTTTTTTCAAGCCCATCATTCTAATAATCTTCTTGATTATTAAATAAAAATATTAAGCATTAAAATGTTTTTAAAATACTAAAACAATTATTTTCTTGGACTTAAATTTGTGATGATTTATGTATTGGTGTGTTTTGATTTTATATATATTGGATACATTTTTTTTGTTTATATGTAGTAAACTCTTACGTTTCGTTTACGTTTTTAAGATTTTACGTTTCTGCTCACCCCTACTGTTTCTACGTAGACTCTACGTTTTAACAACATTGACCGCAATGCCCATGCGGCGCTATTGCGGTGCAATTAACTATTATGACTACTACGTACAAAGATTGCCTCAGCGCACCCTCGCTAGTTGGGGTTTAATGGGGAGTGGTTTTATCTATGCACTACTACATAATGAAGTATTACAATTTAATTTTATTCTTGTATTTTATTGTTTATATGTATAACTGATTAATTTTGAAAAGAATATTATTACAAACACTATTCAATTTGTCAATTTTATAAAATAAAGAGAGTCATAATTAACCATAACAAAATTGCTACACATAATTTTTGAAATAAAAAGTTTATTATTATTTTTAATTTGGATTTCCCTCTACATCATCGTCTCAGTGGAAGGAACTCAATATGTTACCAATGTCTATAGCGACCAAAGCATCGACTGGAGTGTTTCAAGTGAGACGTCAATTGTTGCCTCTTATTGGTGTCAATTTGGATGTGGATAGAGCATTTGAGCTTCTTATGTATCCCGGTTTGATTCGTAATCAATTAAGATTTGATTTGTAATTAATTAGGATTTGATGTCTATATTTACTAATATTAGGGATTGTAAATCTTAGATAAATAGGATGGGGCTGCTGAGTGATTCCTCGTGCCATTTCACAAACCCTTTTCATCATGAGAGCAATTGATATGAGCATCTCTAGCAGCAAGGTGATAGGATTGACCTACTGGTAGAACAGAACAAGAAGAGAGATGAGAAAAAAGAATTCTTATTCAGAACAATGTTGATTACAATTCAGATCCTTCTCTTCTCATTCAACTTCCTATTTATACAATCATAACCCAGCTAACAGAATTTCCCTAACACACACATATGCTACTCTTTGATTTACATAACAGAATACTAATCATGGTTACTGCTATAGTAACCCTGCTCCTACCACATGTAGTTCTCCCCATCTAGTCTTCTCGGTCTCCTTCTAGATCTCCTTGGCATGTCTCCTCCCATCGTCTCCATTGGGCTCTCTTGCTGAGCTTGTATCTGCTCAGCCTTGCTTTCCTCTTCATGTGAGTGATTTGTGGTTAATATCACTCGATCCACTGTTTCTTCTAAACACGTGTATGGACCTGTTTCAATGGGAGTTGTTGTGTTGGTTATTGGGCTTGTGGTGTCGGTTGTTGGGCTTGGGTTCATTGGGCTCATATCAACACCTCCCCCATTAAAATTAACCTTGTCCTCAAGGTTGAAAGAAGGGTATTGGGCCTGGAAATCCTCCCAAGGTTCCCATGTGGAAACATCAGTCGGCATGCCATCCCATAGGACTTGTACCCACTGCACTTGTTTATCTTCGAGCTGCTCCACACGGGTAGCTAGGATTTGCTTGGGTTCCATCACTGGTAGTCCTCCACGGACTATATCAGGTACAGGCAAGGATTGTATGGTACTGTCCCCACAAAAAGGTTTTAGTAAAGAGACATGAAAAGTATGGTGGATTTTGGCATGTGAGGGCAATTTCAACATGTATGCCACTGCTCCCACTCTTTCAAAATTTCAAAAGGCCCAAAATATCTCCTGGCTAGCTTATTAGAGGACCTGTGAGCAAGTGATGTCTGTCTATATGGCTGTAACTGCACCTAAACAAAGTCACCTATCTTGTACTGCACATCTCTTCGGTGTTGATCCACCCTGTGTTTCATAGACTCTTGTGCTTTCTGCAAATTATCTTTCAACTCCTGCAGAATGATTTGTCTATCTAATAAAAGCTGCTCCACTTCTATGGGTGCTGTGGTGGAAGGAACATAATCCAAAATAGTAGGAGGATCACGCCCAAAAACAGCCTTGAAGGGAGACATTCCAGCTGAACAATGATAAGTAGTATTATAACAAAATTCTGCCCAATGTAATACCATTGACCATCTCTTTGGAAAGTCAGCCACAAAACATCGAAGATATTGCTGCAGAATGCGGTTCACCACCTCGGATTGGCCATCTGATTGTGGATGATAGGCCGTTGTTCTCCGTAATTGGGTACCACTTCTCTCAAACAATTCAGTCCAAAACTTACTAAGAAACACTGAATCTTGATCTGAAATGATGGACCTAGGGAGACCATGCAATTTGCAAACTATATGTGTGAATAAATCTGCCACCTTGGCAGCAGTATACTTTTGCGGCAGGGAACCAAAATGGCCTTGTTTGGATAAACGATCAACAACCACTAGAATGGTAGTATGGCCATGAGATAAAGGTAATCTTGTAATAAAGTCCATTGACAAGTCTTCCCATATTCTCTGTGGTATAGGAATAGGCTGCAACAAACCAGCTGGAGGCTGAGTTTGATACTTGACTTGCTGACAAACTGAACAAGATTGGACAAACTTCTTGACATCTTGTTTAAGGCCAGGCCATTTGAAGGATGCTGTTACCCGAGCCATGGTTTTTTGAATACCTGAATGTCCACTGGCCAGAGTAGAATGAAACTCCTGTATAATTTGTTGAACCAAGGGAGAAGAGGGATCAATAAGGAGTTTTCCCTTTTCCAATAACAACCCATTTCTGACTTCCAAAGAGCTGCTGTTATCATCAGACGTAGACAGTTTGCTGTACTTCTCTTGGAAGAAGGCAGAATGCAAATTCTCTTGCTGTAATTTTGCCAGGAGATCCACTTGCACCACAGATTGTGTTGTAAAAGACAACTGTGTAGGGTACCGAGAGAGGGCATCAACCACCCTATTATCCTTTCCAGGTTTATAGACAATTGTATACTGAAAGCCTAAAAGCTTGGCCAAGTAGTGCTGCTGTTCTGGTGTTTGGATTATCTGATCCAACAATGCCCTTAAACTTTTTTGATCAGTTTTGATGAGGAATTTTCTGCCCAAAAGATATTGCCTCCACTTTTTAACTCCCTCTGTTATGGCATATAATTCCCTGACATAGGCATAAGCCTTTTGCATTCTTAAGGTGGATTTCTTGCTAAAATAGGAAATGGGATGCTCATGTTGAAGGAGGACAGCTCCAATACCCAAATCTGAAGCATCTGTTTCCACTACAAACTCTTGAGTGAAATCAGGTAAGGCCAGAACTGGGGCTGAAGTCATTGCAGTCTTGAGGTGATTG